AAGGCTTATAGGACTCCAGACCAATCTTCATTTGGTTCGGTCAGATGCCTTCCGTACCATATGTTGGCCCTCATTCGGTCACACCCCAAAACCATGAATGGCGGAAACATTCTGGGTAGAGGATGTCATGTACAGTATCACAACAATGAATAGTAGTAAACAAGCAACAACATCATCCATTGCATTAATATTATAATTCCATACATGTGTGTTCTATCAAAGTTATAGACACCAAAAATATACATATCAAAATAAATGATGAGTCTTGAACGAACTGCATCTTCTCAAAAGCCTGGCACCTATACCTATCTAGTGGTGACCTGAGAATACAAGTTAATTTGAAAGCGAGTATCAGCTTATTGCTGGTGAGATCATAAGTATATTAATGTATGAGTTTCTATGAAAACGTTTGAAAGATGTTTCTGTAAAATGTTTTGTACTATGTTTTGTATAATGTTTGGACTCTCCTAGAAAACCCTATGTTTTCTACTAACTGTAGCCTTCTACCAAGGCATCTTGTGTTCGTGTATATGTCTCTTGTTAGAGTGTGTGTGTTTCCCAAATTCTGACTATCATTAACCAAAAATATAGTTACTACATTACCGTGCATCGTGTGAATATTCACAAAGTGAATGTAATGGGAAAATATTATCGTACGGTAGTATTTGTAATAAGTGACTACCGTGGTACCAACTACCTTAATACAAAAAGGTGTTTTCAAATAACATGTGATAGACTTGTATCCTGCTACTGACTCTAGTAAAACTATGATGTAAGACGTTGTAAGAAATAACATTTGGCACTCGTAGACTTGCAAGTCCCACTGTAGCGAGCAGCAAGGTGTTGGATAGTCAATCCAGTATAGATCTATACGCAAACTCATACACTCTCCAATTAAGGAGATTCGGGATACAAGAACGGTCGTGGCAGGAAGTGCCATGACCCGCTCAATGGTTCACATAACTGAATAAACGTATATGTAATAATGTGCTAACAAAAAGTGTAATCTTCCTCTATCTAGCCTGTGTGTACTGAAATGTTCTGCGTGTGCTAGTTGTAATGTACGTTCTCTCTATCTAGCATGTATAGCAATGTACTGTGTGTACTACTCGAACTGACTCATGAATGAAGTGACTCATTGTATGTTTGTTTTTTCTAGTTATAGTATTAGTATTCTCCTGCGCTACCCCTATGGTAACTTACTAATGATGTAACTGTTATGTACGAACCTGGAAGTGTACCCTTGCTACCCAAGGGTACTGAATGAACAGGAAGGAACTTTATGACCATATATGTACACATGATATATAATTAATATTTAAATGATCTTCGGACGGATACCCGATATCCCACCAGACCACATCTCAAGCACGAAAAGGAAATAGGGCGGGCAGGCCTTCCTAAGCCTTTTAAACATTTATTATATAAGTATACATACATAGACATGCAATTTATAATAAGTATTAAAGAGTTTAAGTAAAAGTATTTGACAAGTAAAAGTGTTTGTAGAACATTTTGAAACAATACGGTTTGATAAACAGTTTGAAGGGTAAGAAATCATTGGTTTTGTAGTTATTAATCACATGTGATTGATGTAATAATTATAAGTATTTAACTTGTATTCCCACCCCCCCCCCATAAAGAATTTAAAAACATTTAAATCATTGGTTAAGGGGTAAGAACTCACCTATAGATGGTGGTTTGGATGAACTGGACGGTGTAGGATTGTTAGGTGTCAAGTGAGGACCTGTACACACACTACGATCCTAATGATTATATAATCACATATATATGCACTCAATTAGTCTTAAATTACTAATTGATAATGTTAAGACATCCTAGAACATAATAAACACTTTATAAAAGTGTTATAATCCCTAAGGATTGCATCTAAGCTATTGTGGGACAATGCACTTGGGTTTAGGGTTCCAAAGGATCCTATACTTGAGTTTACTCTCCATATAACCTCACACATGGAGTTTACGGTTGTAAACTCTTGAGTTTATGGCCGTAAACTCCAAGACTTAATGTCCTTGGTTGTTTTGAGGTGCTAAATGATCCCTAGAAGTATTCCAACTTGGCGGTTTAATTCTTGGAAGGGTTTAGGGCATAGAAACACTCCTTTGAGGAGTTTACGGCCCCAAGGCCAATTCCTTTGGAGTTTACTGCCATAAACTCCCATGGAATGATGTTTTTGATGCTTTCAAGTCTCTTGCACTTGTAGTATAGGTCTTAGACTTTTATCCTAAGCATATGAAGGCCTTAGGCACACTTTGATGCCTTTGTTTGATGTTCACGGCCCAAGAACCTTATTAGGGCCGTGGACTCACTTTGAGGGGTGTTTTTGATGTGTTTTGGTCCTTGATTTAAGTGGAAACAATTCCTAGTAATTGTCTAAGGCTTTAGGTGCCTTAAAAGCACCCTTTGATCCAAGTTATTGAAGTTCACGGTCCAAGATCATCCTGGGCCGTGAACACCCATGTTTTTGTGTTTCTTAGTTGTTTTCTTGTCCCAAACACACATATATATAAGTCTAAGGTAGTAGCATAACACAAGGGAAGGTCTAGGCATTGTTTCAGGAGTTTACCGCCCAAGAACACCTTGGGGAATAAACTCTTAAATCTAGTTGTTTAGCTATGTAATCTATGTTATGAACACAATATAAGATATATAACACTACTAGAGAGAGGTACTCACGATTTTGGATGAAAACCCGAAGATCCATAAGAGAGAAAATGGCTTTTCTCTAGTTGTAAAAGTGAATAATGAATGAAATTGGTTAAGAATTCTATTTATAGTCTTGAGATTTTTCACAGAAAATATTTTATTCCCGAAATGACCTCTAATATAATAGAGTGTTGGAATAACAGTGTTGCACAAAACCCTAGTGCATCCACTCTTCTGATATCTCCTTAAGTGTAAATCCCGAAATACTCAAACTTATACAGAAAAGTCTGAAAATTTACTGTGACTGTTATAACTTCTATTGACCTTATAAAGTTTGTACAGAATGGAAATTTTGGGTTGTCACATCATCCCCCTGTTAGAAGGAATTTCGTCCCCAAATTAGAAAAGAAAATAAGAAGTTATAAATAACTAAACGAAGAGACGAGGATATTTTAGCTTCTTCTGATCCTCTCGTTCCCAGGTGAATTCAGGTCCTCGTTTGGCGTTCCAGCGAACCTTCACTATCGGGATACGGCTTTGTTTTGTTTGCTTGACCTCTCGATCTATGATTTCTATTGGTTCTTCCACGAAGTTGAGGCCCTCGTTGATCTCGCACTACTAGAAAAACAGCCTTTTACGACACTCATTGAGCGTCGTAAAAGGCTCAGACGACACGCAAATGCGCGTCAAGGAAGGTCCTATCATGAAGAGAGACGACACGCTTTTGCGCATCGTCTATAGACGACGCGCATTTACAACGCGCATATACGACGCGCAATTACGACGTGCGTTTACAACACGCAATGCGTATCAAGGAAGACCCTGTCATAAAGGAAGACGACACGCATTCGTGTGTTGTAACCTTACGACGCGCGTGTTAATGACACGCAATGCGCATCAAGAAAGCCCCTGTCAGGAAAGGCCTTGTCATAAATGAAGGTGACACACATTTTTGCGTATCGTAATTTTAAAATTTTTTTTAAAAAAAAATTATTTATAGATTTACTTATTTTCATATTAAATTTGCATTTCATGTCACATAATGGAAAATAAAATACCATTTACAAATAATACAATGCACTACACAAAAGTTAAAGTTATATAAATAATCATTCCAATAGTAGATAAATGTAATAATACAAATAATCATTCCAATATTAGACAAATGTAACATTTCAACATTTTTTTATATAATTAACTAAATTATTAGGCAAATTTCCTAAAATACCAACATACTTTTTTATGAAGAGCATTAACACTATTCTTTTCCATCAAAAACTTCAAAACCTACATATGTAATTTAATGTTTAATCAACTACAGGTCAATAAGATAGGTTCAAGCAAAAGAGTTTTATAGTAGTAAGATTTTACTTACCACTGTTGTTAATGACATTGAAAGAAGCAGCCCAACAAACAACCCCTCAGAAGGATTATTACTAAATGAAACCAAAAACAAAGTTAAAAAGTCAAGTATTTTGTGACAACCCCGGAACCAGGGGCAAGGTTGTTTTTACCCATGGTTTGACCTAATACATGATAATAAATACTTGTTTAACAAAAAGAAAAATGATTTCTCACATGACATCACTATCAAGAATTGATGAAAGAGGGCACTCCATACTGTATTGCCAACAAGCTTGATAGCAACACCTAAAAGCTGGAAAAAACAATAACATAAATAAAAATAAATGTAAGATTTGAGATAACAGATGCATGTGTATTAAAAACAGACACTTTTATTAACTTTTTTGGGATAAATAATGGAGTAATAAATATTTGAAATTTAAATATGAACATACTGGCCATAGGCTATCTTTGTCAAGCTTGGAAGCTCCTTCTTCGGCTTGGTTGAAGTAAAACCTAGTCCGATTAATCTTCCCTGTCATGAATTATCTCCAGTTATCAGTCACTCTTCTTGATTAAACATCATCATCACATAGCCCATATTGGGCTAGCTCATCCTTAGGAAGATACACTTAAGCTACTACTACCACTTCTCTACAAACCCCTATTTCTGGGAAAGCATCAAAACCACAAAAAAAAATCCCATAATTGGAAAGTGCAATAAGGTAGGATCCAATGCTGGTGAGCTTCACAAAAAAGTCTTTTTCTTTCAACTCAAATTAAAAAAATATTTTGATGAATTTTGTTGCAAACTGAATTATGCAGATTCTCCATCAGGACATAATCTAACCCTCGCTGGCCCCTGTCGATATGATAGGTCTTTAGGTAACACATAAATAACTGCACCGACCTTTTCCTCTCTCTCTCTAGGTAACACATAAATAACTTCTTAATCATGTTCCCAGTCACCCAGAATGTGATCACTGGAGTCCTTTTGGGTGTTGTTATTTGTGCTGCAAGAACATGAGTCTGAGAACAACCCCGAGTTGTCACTGGAGGAGGAAGATTCCTACTCCAGACTCCGGTATCGGTAACCAAGATAAGAAGTCGGCTGGTAATTGCAAGCCTACCAAGGTTCAGTGGAGTGAACGATTGTTTTGTGTTTTCGTGCATCTTGATGTTGGATTATTGACGTTCGTATTGATCGTGGGGTCCGTGGGGAGCATCTAAAAAACAAAGCAAACAAAAAAAATGAAATTGCTTGACTAATAACATAAAATAAAATAAAAAAAAGATAAAAATACCTTGCATAAAAGACCATGTATGCGCCTTTTGTTAATACATGTTGAAGATCCACCTCGTTCACCTACATTGACATGATATAACTCATATAAGCATAAGCATAAGAAATGAAAGGTGGTATTTTAGAAAAAATGGTGAATACATACCATGGTGTCGTTAAATTTGAACCATTGATTGTGATGATTCTTAACATAGCAAACATAATGACCAGAAAAGGCATCATTCATTATATCTACATGAACCACCACCACATAAAGCCTGTAAACTGGCGACTTATCACTTGACCCACTAACATATGGAGTCGTTTCTAAAATCTCTGGGAACTCAACCAATTTGTTCAGCTTCCCAAATTTAGCACACTGTAATACAATCAAATTCAGTAACATAATAAGACTTGCACAAATATCTTTTGGTAAAAAAATATTACATGAAATCTCTTCAATGAAATAGTAAGCACATTAGGAGCCTCCAATAACATCAGTTTCTTTCTGGCTTTCTCATAGGATTTGCACCTTAAGAGCAAATTAATTAATACACTATATAACAGTGAAAAGGATGTGATCAAGAAAAGATAGGTGAACTAACACCAAAACCAACCTGCTGCATTTGTAGTTGTTCTAGGGAGGAGTTAAAAAACAGAGAAAGTAAGTCGGCTTCCCGACCTGCTGGACGGGCTGGTTTCTAGTCTTGCTGATGTTATTATTATAATATAATCATGTGTTAAAAAGATACTTGTCTTGTGATCTTTTCGACATTTTAAGAAAACTGGTTGGACTTGGGTTTTTATAGTAATATCATGGGTCAACAACATCTGAAACAAATGATTGTTGATTTGTTGGGCAAGGCCTTTTAATCCGGATTCTAGTGAGCCAACTATATGCATGAAAGTGTTTGTATCAAGGTTCAACATGTAAGCAATATGGCTGTTGAATAGAACCTCCAAAAATAAAGCGGCAACAATGACTCACCACAGATGATATGGATAAAGAAAACTAATATTAATCATATCTAAAGTGACAATAATATTAAGTTAGATTACTTTTTTATATATCATATAAATTATAAAAAGCATAAAAGAACTAATTATATGGATAAAGAAAACTCACAAGGTCACCAAAGCCAATGTAGATTGGCTTTGGGCCAGCGTCAAGCCAGCGTACAAGTTCTTCAGGGGGTTTGTAGTTTGATGTGAGATCAAGGAAACAAAATCCAACCACATAAATTTTAGGTCCCCAATCTGTTAATATTATGATTTGATTAATCCATCTCATATAATAAACTCTAATAAATAGTTAATATAGGGAAAATTTACCTTTTGGTTTTGGAACAAGATGAGGACTCCATATGTATCCATGTGGAATATCATTCTCAGAGCCTTGAGAACCACTAAAATAAGTGATAGTTAATATAGGGAAAATTTACCTTTTTTCTAGTAGTGTCGATCTCGTCTAGTGGAATAACAAGAGTCTCGTCGGACAGACACCTTTTCAAGTTCGAGACGTGGAAGCTAGGATGTACGTTACTAAGTTCGCGTGGCAAGCTAAGTTTGTAAGCTATAGGGCCGATTCTTGCAAGGATGTCAAAAGGCCCAATGTACCTTGGATTTAGCTTTCCACGCTTTCCGAAGCGGATTAAGCCCTTCCAGGGTGAGACCTTCAATAGAACGCAGTCGCCCATCTGGAATTCCAATGGTTTCCTACGTTTATCAGCGTAGCTTTTCTGTCGGTCTCTGGAGGCTTTCAATCGTTCACGAATCTGAACGATCTTCTCCGCTGTTTCCCGTATGATTTCTGGACCTGTGAGAGTGCTTTCAGGAACTCGTCCCTTAGATAACTGGGTATCACCCACCTTAGCCCAGCACAGAGGGGATCTGCACTTTCGGCCATAGAGGTCTTCGAATGGAGCAACCTTTATGCTCGTGTGATAACTGTTGTTATATGAAAATTCAACAAGGGGTAAATGAGTATCCCTTGCTTTCCTGAAGTCGATCATAAAGGCTCGCAACATATCTTCCAAGGTCTGGATAGTTCACTCACTTTGCCCGTCGGTCTGCGGATGGTAGGTTGTACTCATGTCCAACCTAGTTCCTAAGGAACTTTGTAATGACTGCGAGAACCTCGAAGTGAATCTATTATCTCTATCCGAGATAATGGATAAAGGAAGTCTGTGCAGTCTTACAATCTCCTTAATGTAAGTCCTTCTAAGCTTCTCCATCTTGTCTGTTTCTTTGATCGGTAGGAAGTGTGCAGACTTGGTCAGTCTATCGACGATGACCCATATGGAATCAAGTCCACCCGTCGTCTTGGGAAACTTTTTTATGAAATCCATAGTTATCCACTCCCACTTCCATCCTAGTATCTTCGGCTGTTGTAACAGACCGGATGGTTTCTAGTATTCGACCTTGACCTTTGCACAAGTAAGGCATTTACTCACGAAGGTAGCAATCTCTGCTTTCATGTTAGGCCACCAGTATAACTTTTTGAGGTAAAGATACATCTTATCTGATCCCGGGTGTACATAATAACGAGTGTTGCACGCCTCGTTCATGACCAGGTTTCTAAAACCACCTAGGTTCGGGATCCAGATCCGGTCCATGAAATGGTAAGCTCCGCCACGCTTAACCTCCAAGTTCTTATCCATCCCTATTAGGGATTCACCCGCCACATTTTCAGGCTTCAAAGCGTCAAGCTGAGCTGCCCTAATTTGGGTGGACTAGTGTGAATGGATAGTCATGGTCAATGATTTGACCTTACAACCAGAATATTCCTACCGACCTAGGGCGTCAGCTACTACGTTGGCTTTACCCAGATGATAACGAATTTTACATCCGTAATCACTGAGTAGCTCGACCCACCATCGTTGTCTCATGTTGAGCTCTTTCTAATCGAATATGTGTTGTAAACTCTTGGGGTCTGTAAAGATAGTGCTCTTCATTCCATACAAGTAATGTCTCCAGATTTTTAGAGCAAACACAATTACTCCTAGTTCAAGATCGTGGGTTGTGTAGTTGACTTCATGTGTCTTCAGCTGCCTCGAGGTATAGGTGATGACCTTTCCCCGTTGCATCAGAACACATCCGAGCCCTTGATTCGATGCATCGCAATAGACTACGAAGTCTTCTATTCCTTCGGGAAGGAATAGTATTGGTGTGGTGCACAACGCTCGTTTGAGCGTTTGGAACGCTCTTTCCTGCTTCTCTTCCCAGTCAAAGGCCACGCCCTTCTGGGTCAGTGTTGTAAGAGGTTTCGCTATGCGGGAGAAGTTTTGAATGAACCTGTGATAATAGCCAGCGAGGCTTAGAAATTCACGAATTTCCGTAGGCGTATTCAGTGCTGACCAGTTCTCAATGGCCTTGATTTTGGAAGGGTCCACGTGTATTCCCTCTTCACTAACCACGTACCCTAAGAATTCGACTCATCGAATCCAAAATTCGCATTTCGAGAACTTCGCGTAGAGCTTCTCCAACCATAAAGTTTCGAGGACTTGTCGCATGTGTTGACTATGCTCCTCCTTACTACAAGAGTAAGTAAGTATGTCATCAATCAAAACGATGAAGAATTGATCCAAGTAAGGACAACACACCCGATTCATTAAGTACATGAATATTGCGGGCTCGTTTGTTAATCCGAATAGCATCACTACAAATTCGTATTGCCCATAATGAGTTCGGAAGGCTGTCTTCGGAACATCCTCCCCTAGTACTCGTAATTGGTGATATCCAGATCTTATGTCAATTTTTGAAAAGAAGCTCAACCCTTGCAGTTGGTCAAACAAATCGTCGATCCTAGGTAATGGATAACGATTTTTGACCGTCAGTTTGTTGAGCTCCCTGTAGTCGATGCACATGTGAAACAATCCGTCTTTCTTCTTGACGAACAAGACTGGAGCTCCCCAGGATGAGAAGCTTGGTCTTATAAAGCCCTTGCTGAGCAGTTCATTAAGTTGACCGGACAGTTCTTGCATCTCTGCAGGTGCTAGCCAATAGGGCGATTTGGCTACTGGGGTAGCCCCTGGAACTAAGTCGATTCGGAACTCAACTTGACGTTACGGAGGTAATCTAGGGAGTTCTTCTGGAAATTTGTCTAGAAAGTCGCGTACTACTGGAATGCTCTGGATGTCTTTCGTTTCTTGGCTCACATCGACCACGTGAGCAAGGAAATCTGTATATTCCTTTCATAAGAATTTCTGAGCTTGGATGCTCGAGATGATACGAAGGTTCGTACCGGGTTTGTCACCATAAACTACTAAGGTTCCACCAGACAGAAGATTAAGGCGAACATCCTTTTCATAACACATGATATCGGCACGATGAAGACTCAACCAATCCATGCCGATAATGACGTCGAAACTTTTTATTGAGACCGGCATAAGATCGATAGAAGATGAATGGTTATCTAAAGTTAGATTACAGCCTATGAATATACTGCTAGTGCTCTCTGTCTTTCCATTAGCCATTTCCACAGTGAATGGTTCATTAAGTGCTCGTGATTTTATCCTATGTAAGTGAGCAAATTTTTAGTTCACGAAACTCCTATCCGCTCCACTATCAAATAGAATGCATGCATAAGAGTTATCGAGGAGGAACGTACCAGTGACCACTGTGGGGTCAGCAACCGCATCCTCATGGCCTATGGCCAGAACTCTTGCCGATCCACCGGCAAACCCTGCCTTTGGGCAGTTCCTCTTGTAGTGGCCTACCTCGCCACATCCGTAGCAAGTTTGGCACACTCCAGCACCGGGGGCTTGGTTGATTGGTCTCGTCGGAGCTTTACAGAAACGGGTTGTATGCCCCCTCCCATTGCAGTTTAGACACTGCATCGCCGACAGGTGCCGTCGTGATGGAAGTTACACTTGTTGCACTTAGGCAAACTGCCAGCATACTGCTTTATCGGAGCAGCAGTGGCAAGTGTTATCGTAGCATGTACTGCCACGACTTGCTTCTTCTTGACAGCCTTAGCCTTCTTCTTATCAGCCCAAAACTTCCGCTTGGAGTTAGTGGTTGTTGTAGGTTCTTAGATGGCCAGGGTAGTTGTTGCGGCCGGTGTACGAACCCCATGGTCTATGAGTCGTTGTGTTAATCGCTTGGCACTATCAAATGTAGTGGGGTGTGATGCCAAAACATTTCACTGGTATGGGGGCACCAGTCTCCATATGTATCTTTGAATCTTCTTTCCCTCTGAAGGAATCATGTTGGGACAGAGGGCCACCAGTTCGCAGAATCTGGCGGTGTAGGCGACTACGTTGGAGCCCATCTCGCCTCTCGGGCAATATTCCCCAATCATGAGGTCTTTTAAAGATCCCCAGCCCATATCATTTGCCACTATTAGAGATAGTGACTTTACATGGCTATTCCACCATGTTAGGGCTTTAGTTTCGAAGGTGCAAGTAGCGTACTTCAACTTGCTATCCTCGGAACAAGAGCAGATTTTGAAAACCGAATCGATTTTCTTGAACCATTGCGAGAGGCCAATGACTCCGCCAGTCCCATTGAAGGATAATGGCTTGCAGTTCATGAAGTCCTTGTAGGAGCACTCTCTCGAGCGCACAGGAGCTTCAACCTGAACCGACGGAAAAGGGGTTCCTCCTCCAGTGGAACCAGATGAATGATATTGGGCCATGGCGGAAGACACAACCGCAGCTACGACAGTATTTAGAGCTGTCATGTTGAATTGAGGAGTAGGTGATTGTGGAGGTGGAGGAGGTGGTATTTCGTTATTTGGGTTTCTCCTTGGATTTCTGTGAGGTGGCATCTTTGATCTATAAGTTTATGAAGATGAAAGCATTGATAAGAATTCAATGGAAGAATTGATGAGAATGACTCACGGACTAACTCCCCCTATCCCAACAATACGATTGAATGAAGATCTAATATAATAGATGATTATATTTGGATAATAGTTCCCATATGATTAGGTACCTATCTATATTACTGGTATTACTGATGTAAAAGTTTGGGAAAAATGGCCTACAGTAATAAGCCTTACATCAACCAAAATGGGAAAATTTTGACAGAACTACAACCTAACAAATACCTAACATGCTTATGATTTACAAGAGAGGAAAATAGACCAAAGTTTTACATAACTAGGTTGTATCCAAAAAGAGAAATTGATAAGGATCTATTGGCGACGAGAACTGCCAGAGTGAGTCCTTGATCCTGACAGAAGGTGTTCTAGGTCTCTCATACGCCTATCAGCCCTTGTTTGCTAAGCTCGAAGTTCTCTGTCATCAGCTCGCGTTTCAGTGAGTTCCCTCTGAAGAGTTCCATTCTGGACCAGATTCCTTTCATGAGTAGAATCTAGTTGGCGAATGCGGACAGTGTTAACACCACTGTTGGCATCAATCTACAAGATTCGATTGACAGAT